TTTAAAAATTTTAGATAACATCTGTGACGGAAAATTCCCTCGCTGATGTTTATAAAATATCTAGGAAAATTTTAGTTAACAATCTGCGACGGAATTTTTCCCTCGCTGATAGTTTTAAAATGTCAGGTTAGCATCTGCGACGGAAATATCCCTCGCTGATAGTTTTAAAATGTCAGGTTAACATCTGCGACGGAAAATTCCCTCGCTGATAGTTTTAAAATGTCAGGTTAACATCTGCGACGGAAAATCCCTCGCTGATTTTAAAAAATGTTTGCGACGGAATATTCCCTCCCTGGTAGTTTTAAAATGTCTACCAGGTTAAGCATCCTTTCCAGCCGGCCCATTTTTTGTTAGAGGGGAAGAGAGAGATAGATCTAGTTGAAGAGAGATAGAGGCGAAGAGAGAGAGAGCTAGAACGAGAGAGAGGCGAAGAGAGAGAGAGCTAGAACGAGAGAGATAGAGGCGAAGAGAGAGAGAGAGAGGCGAACGATAGAGAGAGAGCCGGCCACCGTCGCTGCCGCCGAAACCGTCGCTGCCGCCGACCACCGTCGCTGCCGCCGACCACCGTCGCTGCCGCCGTCTTCTTCCCGTCACCGTTGCCGCCGTCTTCTTCCCGTCACCGTCGCCGCCGTAGCTGCCGCTTGGTACCACCGCCGGATTCTTCACCGCCGTCGCCCTACACCGCCGTCGTCCCTGTTCCGCCGGAGTATTCACCACCGGAGTCAAAAGCCCCTATTCCGCCGACCACCACCGTGAATCTAGGTTAAAATCGAGAGAGAGCTACTAGGTTAAAATCCAAAGACATTGAGGTGGTAAGCATGTATCAATTAAATGAAGATTCCGTGTTTTCAGTTGAATTGCCTACCATATCCAATCGCTTTTTGTCTATACTTTGTTCATACATTGCCTTTTGAAGTCAAGTATATGCATGTCATATTAGCATCACTAAATTGGCAGGTCCATGAAATTGGCAAAACAGGTGGTTCCTTGGCAAACACTGAGTTTGTGGTGAATTTGGATACTCAGTGGCAGGATACCTTGCATWCAGAAAGGTGTTCATTCTCTTCTATCTTTATGAATTAGTCTATGTTGAAGCTTCTCTTCTATTTGTCTTCATTTTGAAGTTTGTTACTACATATTCTTTTTGGGGACTAATGACAATGGTCCTGCTCCTGGAGGCTATAGGAGAATGATTATATTTCAGATAAGCCATAGGAGAATTAAAAGTTTCTTGCAGTTCAATGTTCTCTTAATCTGTTTCAGAGACCCCACATCCAGTCAAAAATCTCCCACCAGTATCTTAACTCATCCAAAAGACTAGAACACCCCTGACAATGTAAACTGAG